GCTTAATTTAAAAAAAAAATTAAAAAACTAAACAGCGTTATAAGAAAATAAACATTCACACTGCAATTTAATTATTTTTTTTTAAATAAATATATAGTTTTTCGTTCATTTTCTTCTTAGTTGGCGAGTAGTTAGTCGAGTAGCCTCCGCCAGTCAGCCCGATTAGTTGCTTTCTGACGCCAGTTGGTAGTACCGAGCGCCCCCAAATCGTTGGTCACCTGGTCCTTCCACCGAAGATGCGGACGTCCTCTACCGCGTTTTCCACCTGGGGGTACCGAATCAAATACCTTTCAGCCGGAGCACTTTCTTCCATTCGCACGACATGACCAAGCCAGCGTACCCGCTGAGTTTTTATGCGCTTAACTATGTCAATGTCGCGGTATAGCTCATACAGCTGATCGTTTCATCTAATTCGATACTCGTCGCCAACGCGTAAGGGACCATAGAGAGTTTGCCGTTCCGTTCGAAATTTGACCGTTCGATTGCCGTTCCATCGCCGTTCTATCTTAAGCAATGTGTCTTTAAAAATGGCGAGAGATGAGCACTTGTAGACAGACTAAACTCATGATGCCGAAACCGTTGATCAGGGAAGCGATAACAGTGCTTAGCTATACGCTGAGCACCCTAAGCTGGCTGACCTCATTGATTACTGGAAATAGAAAATTCAAGTATCATCTCAAAAAAATAACTCTTGTTGAGGAAGATATGTGCAGACTGTGCCTAGGAAAAAAGAAGACAGCGGTGCATATATTGTGCCAATGTCCAGCACTTGGAAGCAGGATGATGACTATCTTGGGACACCATTGAGTTGGTGAGGACTTGGTAGGTAACCTCAAGCCAAATGAGCTGCTTGCAATAATAAGAGATGTAGTTATGCGAATGGAAGCCACTCTAGCTTTAAATCAATAACGACATCCAAGAATCGAAGGACGAAAGAGAATCCAAGTAGTTGCGTGGCCTATTTCGGCTAATTCTTGACTTCAGTGCGGCCACTTCCTGGACGGTGCGTTATCTAAACGTTCCACAATATATACATGTATACATATAAGCAATATGTCGTCATTCTCATATTAATTTCAAAGTAATGGAGATATACATTCAAGTAGAGAGAATTAAGGCACAAAATTCTTCCATATGCAAAACAAAATATACAAAACAATAAGCAAATGCGTATGTGCTCATTTCAAATAAATTATGTAGCAATTTGTTAGTAAGATGAACTTTGACTGAGAATGGACGCGTTGGACATTTACTAGGTAGATTGTTAAATACCCGGTCTAAGTACTAAAAACGCATTTTTTTGTGGAAAATAATATTTTATGCATCAATAAAATCCTCTTTTAGCCCTACATATCGAATCCAATGATCTTTCAACATCTGGATACCTTTCAAATACTACGATTTATCAAGTCATCAAAAATATACCTCAGTTTCCCATTTTCCCATATATCAAAAATTATATGTATATATATACATATATATTGAAAAAACTAAATTTTAATAGTGAAATAATGTACAATATGTAACACCATAATCACGAATTAAATCAAGTTCACGAAAAAGGACGATATTAGTCAATCCTTACATGTCACTCATACCCACCGTAATACGAGTTTCGTTAAATTAATTTTCCACAAAAAGTGACACAAGAATTTTTACTTTGAAAATACAATTATTATTCGTTTTAATTGTTCATATAGATTTATTTAATATAACTTAAGATATGGAAGAATTCTATATATCCGATACTAGCATTATGGCTTCCTATTCGAACGACAATTTACTGTAGGAAAACTCAACAACGCTTACCCCTATATTTTTATTGTTAATTTTAGAAGCAATATAATAAGCAATAATATTTTATGTATATTATCTTAAAGTTACTTAGTGCCATCGGAATGTTCCCGTATCATTTCCATTTAAGTTTTTAAATAAAGAGGATATGTGAAAAAGTCGATATGTTAATAAAAAATAAGTGCCATATATTATGGATGCAGGAAAAATTTAGTGTTTGCATTTATATGCCGACAGCGTACGCAATCAGTACATCAACGCGTATCTATCCTTCCTTTCCATATGAGAAAATCTGCATTATTTGAGAATCTATGCATAATTCCAAAAAACTTCTTACGGAGTTCATTTTTATGTTCTCACATATTTCACTTCCACTTAAACGAATATGAAATTCCATCTTTTTACTTTCGTTGTTGTGTTTTCATGTTTTGAGTTTCGATTTTTGACTATCAGATATTTTCGTAGGATTTTGTTTTAAACTGCGATACTCATTTTTAAAAATTAAATCTTGAATTTCTATTTCGTTCACGTCTTAATGCCAAAATTTGTACAAGCTGTGCGCCTCGAGTAACTTCATGAGTGGCTCCTGGTTCGAAACGTTGTCGATTCCACTTGCGCATTTATACAAGGAAAAATAAATAAATAAATAGTAAATTTCATACCAAATGGATTTATTTATTTTTGCCATCTAGTTCTTTTCATGAATTCTATAAATTATTTGATTTTTACTTTTACTCTGAGTAAATATTTATTAATATATGCACATGTATAAATATTTAGATGATAGATGAATTTGAGGAAATCAGTATATAATAGGATAAATAGAATTGGTTCATATTTTTGGTTATTATTTATAATTAACAAGTAAACAAGTATGTGTAGTTTGGTTAGTTTTTATAGGTTGGTTGCAGTGGCAGACCATTGGATAACTTCCATGTACCTCAATTAGCGATTTTTCGCAGTTATGCTACCACATTCCACGCAAGAACCCTAGTATAGAAGAGTAGAGTCTTCATTCATCCCGCCGAATTTAGATAATTTGATAGATCTTTCGTCTTCACCGCTGAACAGTTTGATAAACTATCAAAGCAGTATCTTTCCAAGAACCTATATCATCTGGACGCCAAAGCAGGGCATTCACAGAGAAAATTTATTATGGTGAGTGATTACTTCTGCAGTGAGGATTATGGGGAATGTGCAGTTCCTCAGCTTGGGTTACTATACAACAATGTCCAGTAATGAACTACAGTAAGCATTGCAGTGTTTATGTGGTCTCTTTGATGAGTTTCGAGAATCTATTTTTATTGTAGATGGGTCAGTTTTTACAGACAGTTCATTTTTTTAATTTTACGTGTATGTACACATATTATGTTTTTCACTATCTATAAAAGATTGTACCTTCTGATTAAAAAAGAACTAAAAGCCTATTTTTGAATTCCAGCGCTTATTCAATCGGTAAATAGTATTTTTTGTTTGTCTATACAAAAAGTAGAAGAAATTCAAAATTAAAGTTCTTTTTTGATCACAAGGTATATGTAGCCCATATCCACCATTCAAGCATCTTTAAGCCCATGTTATGCAGAAAGTCTTGGGTCGTCAAAATCAAAATTGATGTTGAGCACCTGACAATACTCGAAATAGTGTTGTATGGTTAGTCAAACTTCAATAAATTAACTAAAAATTTTTGTGGTTGTCCTTTCATTCCTATTCGAAACCTTCTAAAATGTTTGTTGTTTTCACTGCAAATTATAAAATGAAGAGTAAGACAAAAAACAAAATGTCAGCTTAACTCAACACAATGTTCTAATTGAATAACTATTATGACTCGGATGGTATTCATTTGATTGATACATGAGCGTTAGATTCTTAGGCTGACTAGCAATTACCTTATATGTTGATTGAGAAGGTCAATTAAATTTCTGTTATTTGACAGCTTAATCTGTATTTCATTTCTCTCTTAGCGTAGAATATAGCATATCCATTACTACAATTGCCAAGAACAAGGCTTTTAAGAACAATACTATCAATATTTATAGTATGGAATAGCCATTATTTACAATATTATAACTTATAGATATATTTTTCAACTTTAATATTCCACCTAGCGTTTTATAGTAAGATAAATAATGTCGATGAAGGTAAAAGAATTACTAATAAATCAAAAAAAAAAACTAAAAACTGAAAATGGTTTGCTAGGCATATTTCGAAATGTGCACAGATGAATTAAATCTTCAAGACTTGCATTAAAAACCCATAATTTGTTCAAGATCTTGTTCTCGAAAATTTCCAATATACGGCTGTCATTATTAGTATTTTACCATGACAAGCTCCAATGTCAGCTGTCCATAATTAAATGCAGGTTACGAACAAAGTTAGTATCATCATTGTTTTAATCATACAACCAGGAGGATCAGTTTAAAATAAAACATTTTTTTTAACAAAATGTCTTTACGAATTCAATTAATAAAAATGATTATCTGGGAATTAACTTATATAAAATAATCATACGTTAAAATAAGTTTTGTGAATTAATTTAAACCTTATCTCAATTTCAGGTGATCTTTTCATACTTGTCTTCAGTATGGACTCCCGAGAATCATTTGAAGAAGTTGTACGTTTGCGTGAAAATATTTTAGAAACAAAATGGGCTGCCCTTAATCCAGGCTCGGGTTTGAAGAAGAAAAGTCTACCAAAGATACCAATGATTTTAGCTGGCAATAAATGCGATCGTGATATTAAGTAAGTACAAATAGAATATTTAAAATAATAGTTACATATATTTAATAAGTAAAACATTTTATAAATAATTTCTAAGAACCGTACACCTAGACGAGGTTATGGGCTATATAGCGGGACAAGATAATTGTTGTGTATTTGTCGAATGTTCAGCACGTCAAAATTTTCGTATTGATGATTTATTTTATGCACTTTTCATGGTATCGAATTTACCATTGGAAATGGCACCAAATCATCATAGACGTGTTATATCTGTTTTCGGTGCACCCTCTCCATTACCGCCACATTCATCAGCTGGTGGATCTAAAAAAAATGCGCTCTCTATTAAAAGACGTTTCAGCGATGCTTGTGGTGTTGTGACGCCAAATGCACGTAGGCCCAGTATACGCACAGATCTAAATTTGATGCGATCGAAGACAATGGCTATGAATGAAGGTGAAGGTGCGGGCGCTACGCGGCGTAAACTCTGTGTGATCATGTAAAACAAAATTAAAATATAAAAAAAATGTATTATCGAATAATTAATGTATGTGGCGTATGTGTAGTAAATATAAGCAAAGGCGGCATGTGATAGTAGCAAAAATAACTTATTTAAAATTTTTATATTTCAAAACGTTTATTAAAATTGTTTATATGAAATATTTTTATAAATAAAATCAATATCAATAATTTACTTAATTTACGAAAACAAAAAATAGTTATTTTGTTGCGAGTAGTTACATTTTTTATACATATTTACAAACATAATCGTACATAATATATTATAAATATAAATAATAGATGTGTATATAACATAAAATTAAATTTACTTCATTATAGTTATTGAATAAAGAAAAAAATTTAAAAATACTTGAAATGAATGAAAATGCTTTGATGTGTTAATAAATTTTGTTATTTTCCAAATGGTTAAGCAGAATTTTTTAACTTAAAGCATAAAATAAAAAAAAAGTAAGTTAAAAACATTTAGTATCAAAATATTTTATAATTGAAATCGATTGCATTTCAATGCATTTTTTTTAAATTAAAAATAAAGTAAAGCATTTTACATATTTTGCAGAAACCGATGTTTTGTAAAGTTTTTTAAATTTTTTTAAATTTTTTTATACCTTAAAAAAATTCTAATCAGTTCGATATTAAAATTATGCATTTTCAACATGAAATTTTAATTTTTTTATTAAGTTTTCCATTTAATTTTAGTTAGTACACACATATCCAATACATCTAACAAATATATATATTATCTGGGAACAGGTTATCCATTTTGCGTTTCTGAATGTAAATGCAATTAATTACACTGATTTAGATTTGGTTATAATCGTTTCTTTATGTATCGTTTGGACTTTAAAATTCAATATTCTTTGCACCTCTTTTACAGTCGGGTTTCTCGAACACTGTTCCATTGTCAGTATTAATAAAATTTGATATAAAAATATTAAGACATTACAAATATTGTACTTTCTTTTTTAGTGGTATTAGTTTTTGGGAAAATATCGGAGCGAGATCTGAAAAAATATACTAAATAAAAATAATTTTAAAATACTTTTAGTATTATTTCCGGTCTATAGAATTTCTTTGAGTTTAGAACAGAGAACTGCAGTGAGTACTCAACATTTAAATCATGCTTAAAGCATTGGCTGTATTTCACTTATAAGCATTTTAATTCCCATTTTCATATATTCGACTCCACCTGGTTTATATATAGCTAACAGCACTTATAAAGATAATCGTGTGATACTCATAAATACCGATACTGTGACACTGATTCATTAGCACCGGAACTCGTTAAGGAAAACACTTCTGAATCATTTCTGTGGCACTGTCCACATATAAGTAGTGTATGAGAAAAACATTTATACTCATTTATACTTGGTTTTTATGAGTGCACTCTAAGTGTTAAAATTATGACTCGTTGCTATTCGCTGGTTCAGAAACATCTTATTGTACTAGAAGGTAACGTACTCTTCGATGAGTTCTTCATAAATGAATGACAATAGTTCGGTATTAACTTTACAAATGTTCCTCTCCAAAGATTTGAGAATTTGAGAGCTATTCAAATAAGCATGACAACCATGATCTGATGATGATAAGTCGCATGATGGCCCATCACATCATTAAAGCATGAAAACAAATGTCGAGATAATTTCTCGTGCATATTGATATATACACTTTTTCACATTCATACAATCAATTTTACGAGAAAAAAAAATTGGTACTTATTTGATTGGAGTGAGTAGATTTTACAATTTGAAGTTATCAAAAAACAGGATCTATTTGTGTATATGCCACACAATACGGAGACGGTTTGTGGATGAAATGATATTCTCTAGTTCTGTGTGGGTTTTCATTCTTTGTTTAGTTATCCACTAGCGAAAAATTAATCTTGTTTTTGAACAAAATTGCTTCCTTGTAGTGAAATGTATCCACTACAGGATCACGACTGTGAAGTAAGTTTCTACAATTTTAATGTACTCAGAAGGTATTAAACGATTAATATTATAAAGTATTAAAGCTTATTAAACTGAATCAACTTAGTTTAGGTTAGGTTCGGAAGGCGCGTGCTGACCGTTTTCAGCACTTTCACTCGGAGGCATATATTGCCTATTGTGATGCCCTCAATAATTTTCCCGGAAGAAGCGAGTTGCTAACCTTTGTAATCCTTCTTAAACCATTTGGTTTTCCAGATGAAGTTGAGGAGATTCGATAAGTTTGCTATCGTTATCTCTTCCAAGTCAGTGAAAAAGCGATCCCCGAGATATTGAAGTCGCTTTGTCTGAAGTCCTGGACAGAGACAGAGGAAGTGGTTGATGATTCTACCTCTACCTCCTCTTCATCTTGGCAACTCCTGCATAATCCGCTAGTTGGAATTCGCCACCGTTGGAGCATAGGCTGAATTAACTTTACGGCAGTTTTATTTTAAAAATGGCAATAAAACACTGCCATCAATTCACGAGTATGAAATGGATAATTCTTTAATTATAGTATATGTTTTAATTCTTTCCAGTTCATTTATTTTCTTAATTCGTCAGGGAGTATAATGCTGACTCAAGTTATTCGTAGCAATATATTATTTAGAAATTTAAAGATTGCTTAACTATTTAAAAATCTGAATCAACATATCCCTTAAAAATTAAAAATCATTAGTTCGAATGTATTGAGGATTCGGCTCTGTCAAATTATATATATGTAGGTTTATCTTAAATTATCTTTAAATCTTAAATTATTAGCTTAAATTATTTTAGTTTGTTTATTTTTCGCACAGCCACTTTGGACGTCTGGTTCTTATCGCTGCTGCTCACACACTGACTACAAGCAAATTTTATTCTTCGCTCTGTTCTTTCTCTCTCTGACAAGCTCAGCGAGGGTTGCCCTGCGCTCCAAAACAAATAAAACCTTACACTATGATTACTTATCCTACATTCTCGGCCAGCCTGACAGAAGTTCGCCCCGAACATTCCTATTTGCTTGAAGCTTCCCAGCGCTTCATATATTCGGCTACCGTAACGGTACTGCCGGGTCCCTCGTGGTCACCTAACTTTGAAACTTTATACCTTCCGTGGTTCAGAACCGCGGTAATCCTATAAGGTCCAAAAAACTTCGGTCTTAATTTCAATGCTACTCCATACTGAGTTCTTTTTATCGCGACTAAATCCCCAATTTTATACATAATTTCCTTCTTCCGTTTCGAATTGAAAGTCTTCCTATTCTCTTCCTGTATACGTTTAATATTTCCCTTAGCTTCCTCCCTTATTTCATCTCTTTCAGAGTCTAACTCTAGTATAAACTCTTCTTCTAAAAGTTTTCTCAAATCTTTATGATAGGACGGTTTCATTTCTAAACCTGTAAGAATACGAAACGGGGAGAATTTGGTGCTACGAGTCGGCGTGTTATTAATTAACTGTTGAACTCGATCAACATGTTTATACCATAGATCTGGCTTTTCTTGACATACCTTAGATAAAAGCGGTACAACTACTCTATGGACTCTCTCCACCTGACCATTTCCCCTAGGTACACCAGTCGCTATTAACAAGTGTTGAATGTCGTTCTCTTGACAATACTTCTTGAACACGTCGGCCGTAAATGCCGTGCCACGGTCAGTTATAATCCTTTCGGGATTACCGAAAACTGATGATTGCTTACGCAAAATATCGACAACTGAATCGGTACCTAAGTTCTTAGTTGGGTATAACCACACAAATTTGGAAAAGGCATCCACAATCACCAGAATGTGATTATATTTCTTCCGGGTGGCCTCTAAAGGACCCACATGATCTAAATGATATGTTAATAACGGACGATCTTCTTTGTCAATAGGCTTAAGGAAGCCTTCTTTTTTACCAGACTTTGCTGACATGACCAAACATTCGACACAACCTTGAATAATTTTCCCTACTTTCGAGCTTAAGTGAGGAATGAAATATTCTTTTTCCACAATCTCTTGGGTTTTCTTGGCAGAGAAGTGCCCTTGCCTATGCGCTATTCGAATAATTTCGTCTTCCATTTGACTTGGGATTACAATTAGCTGTAAATTGCAATTTTTATATAGAATACCACCTCGCACGTAGTAGTCTTCATAATCGCCACTCTCTAGTATTTTCTTAACTGCTTTCGTCCATCAATCATTATTTTGGGCTTCTTTCAACCTGTGGTTAAATGTGTCTTCGATTAACAAACAATGAATTCTGCTTAAAGCGTCAACGTGCTTCATGCGCGTTCCTGGGCGGTGTTCTATCTGATAGTCAAAATCTTGCAAATACATGGCCCATCGTGAAACTCTCAAAGGCACCTCTATTTTATCCAGTGTCTTCGTAAATGCGCTACAATCGGTGACTATGGTAAAATGTTTTCCCATCAAATAAACTCTCCACTTTTTAAGAGCTTGTATGACTGCAAGTACTTCCAATTCGTACGAATGGTATTTTTCTTCAGCTGGAGTGGTCTTTCGGCTAAAATATTGGATCGGATGAAATTCTCGATCTTCCGGGTCTCTCTGAAGTAACACTCCTCCATACCCATACTTGCTAGCATCAAAATGTACTTCAGTCGCCGCTAACGGATCATATAACTTTAGGACCGGGGCGTGAAGTAGAGCTGTTTTTAGCTGATAAAACGATGCAAGTTCTTCTTCCTCGAATTTAAATTCCACCGAATTACGCAGCAAATTTGTAAGGGGTCTGGCCTTAAAGGCAAAATCTTGAATGAATCTACGAAAATATGACGTTAACCCCATAAACCTCTGCACACTCTTCTGATTTGCAGGTATGGGGAACTTTTCAATAGCACATATTTTCTCTTTCGACGGCTGTATGGAATGGCCATCTATTACATAACCCAAGAAACTAATCTTCTCCTTCAAAAACTGTGATTTCGAAAATTTAATCTGGATACCATTTTTGGATGCGATACTTAACACTAATTTCAACTTTTCCAACCCTTCCACTACATCTATGGAAGGAATAACTATGTCGTCAACATAGACGAT